ATATAAAATAATTTTTTAGATAACAAGTAATTTACTAATTGAAACAAAGTAAATCACAATGAAATTAACAAAATTAAATTTTATATTTTTCTTAAAAGAAAGAAGAGATAAAAAAAATGTATATTTATAATGTGAGAATTTATTCATCACCATCACTAATCTATTTTATCCTGAGATTTATAGTATATGTATTATGATACAATACATTTTTTAAATACATTTTTTTAAATAAATTAGAAATAATAGATCAAATGCGTTCTTTTCAAGGAAAAACCCACCTTTTTTCCTATTTTCGCACAATATCAATGTTAGAGAAAAATGCGCAGGTATTTTTTCCTTCAATACCTGTAAGAAAGAATACCACAATAGGAAAAATCTGCCATACAATTTTGGGGCAGTTTCGGTCCCACGAGATTTGACCTGAACCCACATCTTCAACGACCATCTGCTCCTGGATCACATACTTCATATATATTTTTCTCAGAGCACGAAGCTCTGTGCAACAGACCGACCATACCTAACCTCTTGATCTCAGGAAGCCAAAACGTAGCTGCCTCTTGTAGCAAAGAGAAGAAGCCAGGAGTCTCGAATATAAACACAACGGTCGAAGACACGTTATAACTGCCGCGATACGAAACGAGAACGACGACGATGACTACGACGGATTTAAGCCTCGATACTTGAATCAATTCTCCCTCTCTATTTTTCTCTCTCTTCTTCTTTTTCGGCCCTCTTCCTGTACGTCGTTTATCCGTCTCCCTTCTATGAATGAATTCGAGAACGTAAAACAAAGTTCGTCTCGTCTCGCCGCGCATCCGCCTATTTTCGGTTCAGACGCGCGCGCCCTTCGACTTTCGTTAGGGGAGAAAATTATTTCGGTCGAGGCGAGCTCTTTCCTCCGAGAGAGAACCGCCTCTCATCCTGTTTTATTTCATATTGAACGATTAACGCCAGGGACAAATGCGACCAATCGTCCTTCGATCGTTTCTCTTTCCCTTGAATCGAGAGAAAAAAAAACGATCGAAAAAAATATTTCGAGAGAGAAACGAACCGAGCACGAATGGCGAATAAGTAGTCGGTGGCTGGAGGTTGCCGTGGGTCAGCGAGATTGCTGCATTCGTGCAACGTGTGCACGAGAAACGAAAAATTATTGCATATATCTTGCATATGTATGTATATAATACACCTATACACATTGCACCGAGCGTATATATACGAGAAACTGGATGCTGACAGCTGGAAACTGGTTTCTAGAGAAGGCTCGTATTCGAATAGCTTGCGAGAATGAGACGAAGCAGCAACAGCGTCAGGAAGAGTGGGAGATGGAGGAAGAGAGAAAGAGATGAATAGGTACGAGAGAAGGAGAAAAAGAACGGAGAAATGGACGTAGTACAGCGTCCATCGTATACGGAGTACAGAGGTATCAGACCAGGAAACAAAGGAACGACCTGGCAGAGAGCAACGCGGAACAAGCGATATAGACACGGGTCAAGTATTCACGAAGTTCAATGAAACACTGTTCTCTTATAGATTGAGAAAATTTAAACGAATGAAATATCTTTCCACGAAACAAGCATGGTCGCAAATTCCTTCGAACGATAGGAGAACCACCGATAATCGCGATAAATAACGATCAAGGCGAAGAGGCAGGGCTCCTTTCGATCGAGCGTGCACGCACGATCGCACTTATTCTATGCAGCCATTGTGTTCCCTTCTCTCGAAAGAAGCAGCGAGATTCGTCATGAATACGAACAACCTGCCGTATTCTCAAACATTTTTTCGTGTCTAAATACCTGCGTAAGCGTGTGTATAGATATCGACAAATAGTCGATAGCGAGATAAATTTTTCAATCGAAGTATTGACGTAATTATCGAATATTTGAATTGTGAAATAACGATCGTTTACGATTCAAGATTCAATAGATTTAAAGTTCCGCGCCAATATAGATCGAGTTATCGTAAAAATATTCGTGAATTTTTTATTATCGAATCACTAATAAATTTATGATTTTTGTCTTATATCAATCTTATGTTATTTTACTCACCATGATGTATAAATAAATTATACTTTTTTTAGAAGAAACTTTAGTAGGAAACTTCACTGAACATCCAAGGATCCACTGATGAAAAAAAAACACGCGACACTGACAATTTTTTCTTTGAAAAGAGTTCTTACAAGTAATAATATGCACCGCTATCGAAAGAAAAATTCAATGATTTATTGTAATTGAGGTACTGTAGAAAAAAGAAAAGAAACGTAGAAAATAAAAAATCACGATAGTACACCGGTAAGAGCACGCCGGGCCCGGAGCGAACGTCAGGCCGACGGCGATGCAACAAGTGACAGACAAGCTCCTCGACTCTTTTAGTTCGTGCTTCGACTACTTTACCGGATGGCGCTAGTGCTCGGCAGAAGCCGAATACAAACTTTACAATTCGCCTTTTGCCGCCATTCCCCTCGCCTTTTGTCAAATTCTTTTCAACGAATTCTTTTCAACAAAACCTAAATACGTTTCCTGGAATTCTTTTCAAATCTGAATTCTTTCAATCTCTGTTCGAATTTTCTTTCAAATAAGAAATATTTTAAACTGCTTCCATAAATTCGATATTTGAAAATATATTTTTTGTTGTAAAGTAATAATATCAAAAAGAATAAAATTTTTAAAAATATGTTAACAATAAATCAACATGAAAGTGTATGTTTATTTAATCGATTTTATAAAGATGGTAAATCGTAAATCCTTGGATCGTAAAATCCTTTTGAACGCTGCTAAATATTGCCGAGAGGTGACAGCACAAGTTTTACCAATCGTATGAGTCGTATGTTTCGTAGTATATACGTAGGAAAACATATTTATAGAAAATTTCTTTTTGAATTCATATTTTCATCAATTAAAGAAATTTATAATAGTTTCATTTTCAAGAAGCATAACAATAATTGGATAAAAATTGATAAAAGTGAATAATCTCACCAAATGATCGATTCTTATTTCTATTATAGTTTTTTTTTGAATTCGTATTGTATATACATAGTAGCTAACAATAGTTTCCGAGAGAAAGATAGCTCGAGGTGGTAACGAATCGCGGCTAAGACATGAAACGTGCAATTGTCTTGTTGCAATATACCTCTTGACATTTACACACACGGAAGATCCTGAATATCTTTCCAAGCGCGACGACTTCGAGAGAAGTTCGAATAGCGACCTGCCTGGAATTGATTTTATCAATAAACAAACTGATTCGCAAATTAAAGCGAATGAAGGCCGATACGAGGTTAACTTTCCTTGATCACGATTTTTATTAAAGAATATCTAACAATAAATGAGAAAATATTTAACAAATGGGAAATATTCGACGATTGATTCGATAATTGACTCAATGTTTAAAAACAATTAAAAATTTTCTCTTTACAAGGTACAGTGAATTTTATTTTCTTTCTCATTTTTACAATTATGTATCTCTATGCTTAAAATAATTACACTACATTTTAACGTTTACATTGTATTGCTATGTTATTCGTATTAGCATACTTTTGAAATTTATAGAAATTTATTTTTATTATATTCAATTGAATGTAAATAACAATGAAACATAATGAAGTTTAATGAAGTTCAAGTATTCTAAAAGTCTAACGATATAAGATGTGAGATAACCTTACTTTTTTAACCTTTTATTTTTTATATTTGTGTAGCTTCATAATAATTCAATGAATAAAATAATGATATTTTATTTAAATAGCATGAAAAAATTTTATATAGATTCAAAAAATATTAACAATAATTATTTATAAGAGGCAATTTTAAATTAAAACTTGAAGTTCGTCGTAAAATAAATATCTCTGCTATCTGAATAAAAATATACGATATAAATCTCATATGTTTCATAAATAAGATAAGATAGAAAATATATTTATCATATCAAGTTTTTTCACTATTTTTTAGATCATAAATCATTTTCTAAAATATTTCTCATAGTTATGGAACACCTTGTATGTATTTCGTTCATGACTCGAAGTATTTGCGCGTGTCGTATGCGCATAGATCACAAGAGTTGCACAAGATATCGATACTTTTTCTTTCGAAGCTGAATGGAGCACGAAACTTTATTCTCTGATCTTTGCCATTCTGTCATGGCCAAATTAATCTGTGAAAAAAAATGGGTTTTATCGAGACTTGGAATAAAGCAAAAAGTTAAGAAATGTCGAGAAAACAAAACAAGCCTGTCGAGTTTTCACGTTAATAATTTTTCTGTCAGCCAGCTTTAGTGTCTTAGGACGACATCGTGGAATTTCAAGGATAATCATCCTGTCTAGCCAACAAGACTATCGAGATTACTTTTCTCTTGGAAATTTATAACCTCTCTCATGCAATTCTCTCGAATAAGTTTCCGTTGATTCTATACAATTTCTCGAAACACAGTTATCTATCAATTCTTTCCTAGATTTTAGCATCAAACATTTCCCTCGATTTAAAATAATAAAATGCAACTAATTCACTTTTTCAGCAAATGTTTTTTGGTTAAATCAATCAGAAATTCTTGTGTAAACGAAAAAGCAAATGAAAGGAAGAGAGGAAATAAAGGATACAGAGGAGGATATCAGCAGGGTATCTGGCATTCTTGCCTCTGGACAAGTACCAGGTCTGCATCGTGTTCACTTTCACTGGTTGCGCGCTCTATCTAACTATAAAACACGTCCTAAGCAGAGCGATTCGTTCGTTTCGGGGGACGATCGACTCACGATCCGTTCAGTTGTCTCTGTGTTACCGATCGGTATTTCGAATTCTCTCGGCCGCGACACGGAAAATTACTCTTTCCTAGAAAAAATTAAATGGAGAGACGCATGGACAAAAAAAAGGAACACGAATGTTCAACCTTGCTCGCTTCACGCGTTATATCAAGGATATCCGGACCCAAGCCAGTGTCCATTATTTTATTTGATCAGAAAGAGAAACGGAGTCGTTTCTTTCGACACATCGTCGTGAAAGGGTAAAATGAAATTATCCAGGGATTCAAGGAGATATTCGGTGATTCGAAATTCCATGAATTCGAACAATCAGCATGGATATCGCGCTGTTTTACGTGGTATCGAGAAGGATATATCACATGCACGATAGGTGGATGGGTTCGGCACGGGTGGTTGCTGGCAGAGTGAGAGTGAGAGAGTCATATATATATAGAGAGAAGGGGAAACCCGACTCGGCACTCCAAAGTACACAGCCTCCGCGTTTGCAGTGGTGTGCTTTCGGTTCCCTCTACACACGATATTCATTCTTCGCGGCTTCGCGCCCGTGGTAACAGTCGGCCATCCACGTTTCCACGTTGCACGAGGGCAGCTTCCGGAATCAATCTTTTCGTCAATCGACACGGCCACTCGAACCAGCTACAACCATGAAGCTCGCTATATTCGCGTAAGTATTTTTTCACCGTGATTCCTTTTAA